TTTCTCAATCACTCAATGCCTTTTCTTTGACTGCCATTCATTAATTAATGCTATACTTTAATGCGGTACAGTCCGTATGTAAACAAGGCTTTGTTTACATTTCGGTATCCAAAATATTGAATTTTATTCCACAACTAGTTATATTTTCATGATTCTATAAATTATCAAGAGATAACAATCAAGCTTTGCAAGAACATAAAATGAAATAAAAACCTAAATAAACTGTTTGTAAATAAAAAGAGGGCTCCTTTGTGCACATGCACAGATTGGACTGTACATGCCGCATCTTTAATAGTAATAAAGTCTCTGGTGTAGGAAAATGCTACGACTGTTAAATAAAGTTTAACTATATTTTCCGTACAGTTTCTGTGCAGAGTTCGAGGGTTGAACTTCACGAAAAATCACAGCATTTTCCAACAATGCCGACATTTTGCTGGTGTAGTGTTTTATAAAAATCCGATCAAATATGCTCAGGAATATATTTGCTACTTTATAGTTCTCACAATTTTATAGCTGCTCACACAAACGAGGAATCAAGCCATAGAAAAACATTCTAAAAGTTTATCTTGATTGTTCCTTGGACAGAATGTTGTGTAAAGTGGCCATGCAAAGCATCGAACAAAACATCAGTAGAGGAAACAGTAGCCAAACTGACCTCAATCAATGTAATATAATCAAGCGACGTCCTCTAATAGTCAACGCAGCACGAGTTTTGTCTCTCCCTTTAATACTTTATAGACTTGCACACTATCTCTCACTGACTAAAAGGAAAAACCCTCTCGCCATCAATTTCTTGTATAGTTTCGGTGAATTCAGCGTCTGTTTCGTCTAACTGTATTTCTGTTAGAGCAACAGACACATCAAAGTTGTATAAATCCTCTGCGGTTGCATCGTCTAGTTGCGATAAATGTCTTCGCCCTTCGTCCTCTTATGCCTCGATCATAAACTGTTCACGACGCTCGCTTTCTTCGATATTTTCATCTCCAACGTTCAAAATAGGTTCGTATGTTTGTTCGCTTTCTGTTTCAATTTCCATCTTGATCTCAGAAGCCCTATAGCGTTTTGAAATATGATCTTTTGTTGGCATATTATGTTCTCGCCCATATGTTTTCCTAATCACTCATCACAAAGCACCCCCTTTCCTCGTCACGTGACACAAATAAAAGTGGTTCTCGACATAATTTGCCGCTCCCTTTGAAGTTTGCCGGCTAGCCTAACCATCTAATTCTATTAACCGTGCATCCATGAAATCTCTTAGCACACCGTCAGAACTTGAACAAGGATTCTTAAACTGGGCTTTAACACTAGGATCTTTCAAAAGTTCTTGAATAGTTTCAATTATTGGCACACATTCACAATACCTTTTAATCTTGTTTTTATCGAAACCAAGATTTATTGTGACTGGCTCCACATATCTAAAGTTGTCTTTGAAAAATTGTTTACGTCTGGAATTAGTGCTGAGAATTCCTTTCTCACAATGTACAGAATTATATATATCATTTGAAATAAAATCCTGAACAACTTCATCAACTACTTCTTTTTCTACAGAAAATTCTGTCAGTCATGGCCAGAAATGACGGACATTGCGCAAGTGTACCAGTCGGTCAGCGGCTTTTCCGTTTATCCACAAGAATCCCTAATTATCCTTTTACGACCTATCAAAGCATACGGAATTTCAAATATTCGCGTGGGTGTTGTTTATAAAGCAAAGCATGAAGTATGCACTCAAGTTGTGGCCTTTAGTTTACCAGGCTCGGGGTGTAGCTAAGCAATGACTACGGGAACGAAAAGAGAAGATTTCGACGAGTATTTTGGTACCAAACATGTAGGAAGGCAATGAATATTTCGAGTTTGGCAAGCGAATGGAATATCACTTTTCGACCACGAAGTAATATTATAATATGCATATTAACGCACCGGCTTGCGAATTTCAAAACAAAAAAGCAGAGCTTTTATCGGGTATAACAAAATAATAAACGGCGGAAGGCAAGGCTATACTATTCGTCAAAATAAAATGATTTCAACAAATTTCGATAATTGAATATATTACGAGATATAGCCTTTTGAGCGAGAAACCTTTATAGATTCCTATGTAAAGTGAGGTAAAATGTTGTAATATTCCATCGCAAAAAGCAGAGCGAGTATGCAAAGAAATGAGAACATTTTTTCTTAATGTGTTACTATACGACCGCTACTTCGGGAACCAATTTCAACAAATATTCAAAGATTTATATATAGCATGCTATATTGAAAATACTCTGCTCGACAGATAATAAACATAGGGCATTGCGCAGCCATTGTTGCGTGGGTGCTCGTGGTAACGTGAAACCTGAGAAATGCAAATGTCCGTGATTTCTGGCTATGTTTCTTTTAATACGCTGCTTTAATAAGTTTTGAGATATGCTGTGCATCGATTGCATTTCTTCGATAACTTTTTGAACAGTGCTAGAGGGTACATGATATTTAGCATTCAATTTCAAATAAAATGCTAGATTTTTGACGAATAAATCACTTATGTCTGATTCTATTTCTCCATTACCACTTGACATAGATTGGTCATCACCTTCAGATGGTGCATCTTCCTCAAAATCAGTGCTATTATTGTTTTCGAAAATGATATTTTGGTTTTCCTGGCTGTTGATAAGTAATTCAGGGGTAATTAATAAGCCTGTTCTCAACACTTTTATGTCGCCTACTTAGATGCGAAGTGAATGACGACTTAACTGTAAATGACGAAGTACACCCTTGAAATGGGCATGTAATTTCAAGTCCATGCGCAATATGTTCTTTTAGATGTTATATTTGGCAAAATTTTTAAGCAAAAACTAAAAGGGCATTTGATCGTCATGTCAACAACAACGGATTTAGATTTTTCCCGCCTGGAGTTTTGATGATCGCGAGAAACATGCGATTTAAACGCGCTGAAGGTTTGAAATTTGCGAATACAACCTCTCACAGCACAAGGAAAGTGAATATTTGCTTCGTTAAAGTGCAGTCTGTAGTGCTCGACATAATCTTCTAAAGAACGGCTTCGATTTGAGCACGATTTACAGTGGTACATTTTAGAATTTAGGAACGAAAAAACCAGCAAGTTTAAAACAAATACTAAAGACAGTAAAGAGCATTTCTTACAGCTATCATGCAGTGCTTGAGGAAGAATATACACAAAGCTATAAACGTTTATAAAGCATTAAACTTAAAGAAGGCACTTACATGATCGAGGAAATGTTTATTTGGACTTGGACAACTCCACGACACCCAGCAATGTAAATTTAATGAGACAAAAAAGCTTCAATTTCGCAGTCTTCGGTTGCAAAATTACTGTACGAGCTTGTTACATTTTGCCAGTAAAATAATTTGCTTAGCGATGCATGTTTTGTTTGAACGTGATAGATTTCACGCATCTGTTCACGTGATCGCACATGATGCTTCTGACTGATGCAACTTGTTTACGCCAGTGAACTCAATAGACCTTTTGAGTTCACTGGTTTACGCCGATATATTACCGTCGTTTGCAGCTGCAAATGAACAGTTGCTTTACAGTTGCTCTAGTTGCAAGCCTCTGCATGGTTGTAAGCCTCTGCATGGTTGTAAGCGAAGGAAGAAATGTGTTCATCAGTTCATACAACATTTCTTTACAACCCTGTTATTTGGTGCCCTTGAAATTGACTTTGTCAAAAATAACCACCAAAAATTCAATCTTCATATTTAGAACTTTAACATTTCACAGTGAGCTTACCTAGTGCTAAGCCTCAGATTACGAAATCAACGAAAATAAATTTCATAAATTGTAATAAGCAGAATGTCTGCTTTTGTTAAAAGTAAATTTTTACTGTATATTTTAGGGTTTTACAGCCATTTTTGCTGTAATTTTCATTAACCAACTATAAATTATCATATCGTTATAAATTAGGTATTATTATACTTTTACAGATTATTAATATTAGATTTGTAAAAATACATAAATTTGTATTTTCACATAGTTTTTTCTGTGTTACATATTTGCTGCAAACTACTTGTAAAATTACCATAATTATCTCGTAAAAAAACAAAAAAGAGTTTTCTTACAGCTAATAAGACTGTAATTTGTAACAACAGAAAAATCACTGTAAAATTTTACAGCATTTTTTCTGTAAAAAAACATCAATTTTTAACAGTGTATCTATATATATCTATATATATCTATATATATCTATATATATATCTATATATATATCTATATATCTATCTATATATCTATCTATATATCTATCTATATATCTATCTATATATCTATCTATCTATATATCTATATATCTATCTATCTATATATCTATATATCTATATATATATATATATATATATATATATCTATATATATATATCTATATATATCTATATATATCTATATATATATATCTATA